ATTTGATCAAGAACGTTTGGTAGATATTGACTCAGTGATTCTTGAAAAGAAAAGCTTTTGGCATGAGAGATGGGGTACTAATTAAAAATTGAAATTATTTTTATATAGTCAATTTTTTTTTTTTACGATCGACGTTTTGAACCCCACCCCCACCCCCCCCCACCCCCCCAAAAAAATGATTGAAAACTTCGCCTCTGAAGGGAAGCATTTTATCTATTTACGGGGGGAGGGGGGATATACTGATGAGAGGAAATTTAATCAACTATCAGTCCTATAAATATGAATGATTACTTCGGAATATTTGGTTACAATTACGTGGCTTTTATATTTATTTATACACATAAGTTAATGTCAGCTAAGAACTAAATTAACATCTGCTATAGACAAAACCAATAAATTTTTAGCTATTTAGGGTTATCTAAATATATAGATCTATTTGTAAGAACCACTTTTTATAAAACAAATTTTCGTCCATGATACTAGTATATTTGGCACTCTATTTAATTACCATTTTATTCGGATGTCAATCAACACATTTTTTTTCAAAAACCCCGGAGTGCAAAATAAGCGAAACTGGCCAATGAATATGTTTAAAAATCCTGATTCTGCAATTGCATCATCTCAGGCGTTTCCGTCAGAGGTTGGAAAAACAACCCCGAATGTTTTAACATTACTGGGTGTTAAAATTTTATACAAGATGGAGTCGCTTCCTATTTATTAAGGATAGACGGAGTTGAAAGTCCCTTCTAGCTAATTAGTATATTTTAGGTAATATCTTTACATTCATTAAACTTGAACTCAATACTCAACAGATAAAATATCTTCGCTCTTTGAGGGAAGATCTTTTATAGTCATTTATTTCAAAGTTTGGGAAAGGGCGGGGGAGTCTACGTAATACAGTCGAAGTTTTTTTTCCGTTAGTTGGAAAGGCTCGTGAAGTTGTGACTGACTTATCTTGGTCTAAAATCACTTTGACAAACCCAAACCACGCAGTTTTATTCAGGACACGTGTACAGTGAAATGAAAAAAGTATATTCAATCCAGTTAATTTGAGAAAAAAAATAGTCCGGCATTTTTTCAACCTTGTTCGGTTAATTTATTATTTAATGTTTTTTCCGTGAAGGAGGAAGGCATGGAGGAAGGATTAAATAAAAAATATTTCCAGGTGTACAAAAGCACCCGTGCATGGACTTCATTTTAGTACTACATATTGTGATTGAAGTTGAAAATAATCAACAAATAGATTTACAGAGTAGAGAGATTATGATTGATATTGTAAATAAAATTAAGAAAATTGAACAATATTTGATACAGGAACTACCTGGTATATATGTACATGAGCAAATGAGTCTCTCTCTCTCTCTCTCTCTCTCGATCGTATGTTTTAAAACTAACCCAGAAAATAATGTACGTAAGTTACAAGTCAATTATTTGAAAGAAAATACTCCATTCTATACGGTAAACGATACAAATAGTTTAATAGTTTATGATACAAAGGCTGCCAATTATGACTTTAATAATTGAAGTAAAGTTGTCAAAGTGTATTAATTAAGAATGATAAATTTGTGATATTCAGTAGCTGCACTGAAGTTCACTGGTCTGAAAAAAAAAAATGGGATGGATGACCAGAGACTCCGATCCGTCAATAAATTATTTTTTTTTTTTCGGAAAGCTACATGTACAGTCCTGCAGTTAGATATTCAAGTGATAAAAAAATCTACCTTTTCCTTCCCAATTGATATTTAAAAAAAAATATGTTATATGCATTCTGAAATTTACAGTTCTGGACATATGATATAGGTTTATTGTTATCTACATGTATAACCCGCTACCGATATTTAATCCCACAACAAAATTATGATGTTAGCTTACTATACTTAAAAAAGATCATTTACGGGTTTTGAATTAATTATAAAAACAAAATTCATTGCTTTAAAATCTTGAGGTATTTTATTAAAATTTTACTATCAACCCTGTAATATAAATAGGCATAGTGCACCACAGAAGTCACTTATGAAGTTCAGACCTTGGCCATGTGACAGAGTTACCTATCAATGTTTAATCCATTTCATTGTTTACTTTTCAATAAAATAACGAATCATTTTTAAAGTAAGACTGGTCACCCTTATGATTCAGAAGATTCTCTTTAAAAGTTTAAAGTTGGTATAATCATGATAAAAACCTGTGATGGAAAAAATATGACTTGAAATATTTGTGTTGAAAATGGATTAATTTACTGTTTTAAAACGTAGAGAAATTGTTTGTGTGCTTGTGTGTTTAATGGTTAAATTAAAGTAATTGCAGATCGCTAGTCCATATGCAATGAATCACCAAATTAAAAGTAAAATTACACACGGTTGGGAAATAAATTGTTGGTAACATTAAAACAATTGAAATATGGAGATAACGAATATTTAAAATTTAAGACTGATTAATGCTTAGCGTTTTGTACTTAAATCAAATCTAAGATATTAAGATAGTTTATTTGAAAGATTCGATTTACTTAAAGAAAATAATATTTTCCCGTAAGTCGTTGTGTTTGTAAATTAGATTTAGAACAACAATGTTTGATGACTGCGCACTGGTTTACATGCATACGATGGACTGCTTTGACCACGATCGAAGGAATGATTAATGGTTGCGTAATTGTAAACAAACACAAAACCTGGCTAGACGTTTTGGATTAAGGCTACATGTATCATGATCAAATTTAAAACAAAGATAAACTAACATAATCTCAAATATTCGATATTAATAATTGTCCATTAATTGTCGTGTTTACAAAATAGACTTAATACGCCAATTTTTATTTTGTTTACGACTGTGGGTCAATGGTTCACACGCAGTGGATCGCTTTAGAGCTTCTCGGCCGCGTGTGATCGAGGGATGGGTTACGTAACGTTAAACAGAATAGAATCTGGGGTTCAGGTGAATGTAAGAATCACGCAGTTAATGATTGTGAATTATTTGACTCTTAAAATTTTTTTGCATTTATATTGTTTGCTTTCATATTTAAACAAAGAAAAGTTACTTGTACTTTCTTCTGTTTCTCTCTCTTTCTCTCTTGGAAGATTCTTTATTTTAAAACACAATATAAAGAGAAAGTTTTCACCAAATAATCTGAATAGGAACCAAAGAGCACGTTTAAAACCTAATTTTAAAAAAATTAGGATACAGCGTTGAAAGATATATTATTTATGGCAAGTTTATTTCAGTTATACACATAAAGAGTTCTTCTTAACTAGCCAAATTAAAACGGGTCATTGTTTACGAGTCTAGCTTTTTTTCCCTATCATACACAAGACTCGAACAAAATAATATTTTCATGAGACAAAGAAGGTATAAAGGAACAACTTTTTATTGACAGCCATGTCGAAATATTTTCTCATTTTTGAGTTATAAAGCAAAAACTTTCAAGGGCCCTAGATCCCTATTTTAAGGGGCCAGCCCCTTTTTAGTGGTGTCAAATAAAAGGTAATTAAATTGTACACAACTTTTATTCTACATGTCTTAATAAAATATTTCTTATTTAAAATATACAAAGGAAAACGTGTCAATTTTTGCTCTTTCATGCATCCTAATTTTTGACCCCTATCTAACGGCAGTTTGAACACAGAAATCAAAAAACAAAAACCAATGTTCACAACTTCATTGCTTCTGTTTCTTATATTCAGTAGTATTTATGTTCCAACTTTCGTAGTCTCGGAATATTTGTCTGGAAATTAAAGACCCCAAATTTTCACTTAAAGGGAAATAACTCGAAAGCGGAAGTGGATTTTGGAAAAATATTATATTATTCTGATAGAGTTTTGTAATGTTTATAAACTCTGAAATTTTGATTAAAATCCATTGAGAAATAAGCAAGATATGAGGCATCAAAGTTAACAAGTAGGAAAAAGAAGAAAAAATCTTGGGCAGTAGCGGACGTTGATGTTTGGTACTTCGGGTAAAAATGAACTTCCAAGTACAAATCTACGTATGTTGCTCTATCATCACTGAAAATCTCAAATTCCTGTGTTAAGTGCTTTTCTTGAAAATGCCCGGACAAACTAACCCTCGAAAATCACCAAATCTTGAAAATCTCCAGACCGGATGTGACGTCATCAAAATAAAAAATATATATCTAGATTTTTTAATTTTCTATCAGACCTGAAAGTTTCATGAAAATCGGGCGAGCTGTTTCCGAGAACTTGCGTGCACAAAATCGGTAGGAAAAAAAACAATAATAAAAATAGTGGAAAAGAAACCTAAGAATAACAGTAAGGTCTTCCGCTGAAGTCGGAAGACCTTGATAATAGAAAACAGACGGAAAACAATAAGGTCTTCCGAAGGAAGTCGGAAGACCTTAACTAGAAACTCATAACAGTGGCTTCCATTTTATCGGATAGCGGTTAAACGAATATTTTGGCTATTTCAATATAATATCAGAGCACAAAACCATTTCTTATATATTTATTAAAAATTCACCTGATATTCTGATGAGAAAATATTGGATTTTCGTTTTACCTTATACAAAAATTTCGCCAGTCATAATGATTTTCATAATCATTGACTTGTTCACACCTCTAACTTCAGTGTGTAAACCCTTTGTTTATTCAGTCTGACACCTTTAACCAGGAGAACGACAATAGGGGATTAGTCACGGCTGAACGCACACAGGAATCTTACCTGTGTTAACAATGGGCACGGTAGATCAATAAGTTTTGATTACAATTGTGATGATCAGCTTGGGATTCAGTGCTGCACTTGCTAATTTTGATTATTGGCTTGTGTGCAATTTAGTTCGGCATGAAATTTTAATTATTGAACTGTTCAGCTTGTGTATGACACTTCGCTTGGACATTAAAATGCACCATAATTAGACTACATGTATCTATTAAATCATTTCGCTTGGTCATTTATCTGAATATGTGTTCACTTTTAAGTGCAAATTTCAGGGTTAAAATCACAAGCACCCCATATAAATATACGTCTCAAAAATTTTATTCATCATTCTCAATATGGCTCTGAAGAGGAAAAGGACAGATCTCTCCTTGGCAGACAAGTATGAAGTGGTTAACCTCCTTGACCAAAAAGTCCCCCAAACAGAAATTGCCAAGAAGTTAGGTTGTTCACAACCTCAGATTAGCGCTATCTCAAAAAATAGAGACACAATACGAAAAGATTACGAAACTAGCGCTAATCCAGAAAGAAAAAGGCACAGATCTGGGAAGGCACCGACAGTCGAGGGGGCCCTTACAGAATGGTTTACAAAGGCCCGCAGCAAAGATCTCCCTGTCTCCAGCGCAGTGCTAACAGAAAAGGCAGAAGACTTGGCAGCACGAATGAACATTGAATTCACCGCAACAAATGGCTGGTTGTCCCGCTGGAAGCAAAGAAACAACATAAGTTATAAGAAGATGCATGGAGAGAAGAAAGACGCTAACACAGATGCTGCCGACCACTGGATCACAGATGTTCTACCACAGCTTATGAAAGATTACGAGCCGCAGAACATCTATAACGCCGACGAAATGGGACTTTACTACAGAGCTCTCCCTGATGGAACACTGACGTTCAAGAAAGATAAATTGGCTGGTTCAAAAAAGGCAAAGAACAGAGTGACAGTGCTAGTGACAGTGAACATGACTGGAACAGACAAGCGTCGGCTGCTGGTAATCGGGAAAAGTAAAGACCCAAGATGTTTCTGTGGGAAGAAAAGTATACCTGTGATCTACAAGAGTTCCGGAAATGCCTGGATGACTGGTGATTTGTTCAAACAGTGGCTCGCAGACTTCAACAGAGACATGGTTCGTCAGAACCGAAAAATTCTCCTACTTGTGGATAACTGCTCAGCTCACCCTAAAGACACTGCCGACCGACTTGCCAACATCAGACTAGAGTTCCTGCCAGCAAACACAACATCCATAATTCAACCATGCGATCAAGGCATCGTTAGGAATTTGAAAACCCTGTACAGATCTCAAGTGATTAAAAAAAATGGTGATCGAGATCGACAGCGGCAGCATCTCAACAGTGACGGACCTTGCTAAAAGACTACTTGACGCAGTGCATCTTTTGAGTAAAGCATGGCGGGGAGTCAAAGAAACTACAGTGGTGAATTGTTACCGGAAGGCAGGTTTCCAGACCGAATGCACAGAAGAAATGCCAGAAGAAGAACCAACTATTCCTGAGTGTATGGAGAGAGAGGAGTTCTTCAACTTTGTTAATCACAACGACGATACCGATTGTCACAGAGAAATAACAGATGACGAGATCTGCACTCAATTCTTAGAGGAAGAGACAACAAGAAAGCCGGAAGAAGTAAGTGATGAAGAAACAAGCTTCACTCTACCAGTGAGTTCAGCAGAAAACAAGGAATCCCTCTCCAACGTTCGACGTTTCTTGGAGGAAAATGGTTGTGAGGACTTTAGTGCTTTTTACGCACTGGAAGAACTATGTGAGCGTTTGGGTGAAAAACTGAAGAAACAGACAAAGATCACAGAGTTCATAGACTGGATACCCTAGGGACTAAATGAAACAGTGACTAAATAGTGTCTACGCTGTGCTCAAAATGTTTGACATTTATCGTTTGACGTTTATCATGTTTATCAGATTTTTTTCTTGTATGTATTTTACCTTTTTGTGCTCTTGTAGTGCTTTCTCATGTGCTTGATAATATGTTTATGCTTTCTTATGTGCTTGATAATATTAAACATTCAAATAAAGATCAAACACTTAAAATAACTTTTTTTGTTTATTTATTTATCAGCAATCCAGAAAAAAAAAAAGTTTACGAAATATAGTCATGCATTCAATCAACTTCCGCTTTCCAACATGGAGACCATCAACGAATGGGATGAATGTTAACAGGTGCCAGGTGCTGAATAAATATATAGAGATGACAATAAGTTTTATAATTCAATTAAATAAATTATTATACATACGAAATCATATTGAACTCTTAATAAGTGAAATAATTCATTCTACTGACTCAGTACATTTATCAATCGAAAACGAAAGTGCAAGTAAGAAAAACAAGCGTGCTTTATTGCTACATGTGTACTGTACATCTAGTGTTTGCACTACAAATGGTGCAATCGGCTATTCTAATATTCGGCTATTCGAATAAAACTAGGCTGACAACTTGACTATCCGATAAAACGGTATCCACTGTACTTGTAATGAGAAGGTCTTCTGATATACTACTTCCTGTTTGCATGAACATGTCTTTTCCAACGTCGGTATTAGCCTAAAACTTATGTAGGAACAAAATAACTTAAAAAATTACTTTTTTGCTTCGTTTCCTGTCACAACCGGAAGTATTGACGACACACAATTTTACATGGTGCAAATGAACTGATGACTGACTATAAGTCCTGAAAGTTTTAGACTTCAGTCTTTTACAGTTGCCGATCAATTGTGAGAACAAATTCTAATTTTGAGGACAGGAAAACACACGACCTGAAGTGAACTGAATAAAAATCTCTGAATTTTCTCTTGACATTCACAGTATCTACAGCATATGTAAAAACATTTCAAAAACTTATCTATAAGTGATATTTATGAGAAAGTTAAACCACGAAATAACGTAGTTTATCTCATAAAACCGGACGTTTAAAGTTTTTGTTTCCGGTGGAATCTAACATATTTGAAAACAGGGAAAGAGATGCAATAAAGTGATGCAAGTTTTAATTTTAAAAAGAAAAGTTGAAATTTTCAATTTCTTTGATCACTTCCTGCGATGACTGGAAGTGATGGCTGATGCTTTTAACCCTATGTGTTTTGCCTACTCCCCAAGGTTTATTACTCCTATAAGTTTGGTTTCTTAATCTTATGCCGTTTCCAAGATCTCTCTGAGATAACTTTTCATTTTGAGGACAAGAAAACACGCAACCGGAGGTGAATTTTACTAAGATATTTGACATTTTTTTAGACATTTGCAGTCTAAATAACATATCTAAAAATCATTTTAAATACTTTATCTTTAAAAGATTTTTAAGGGAAAGTAAAATACTCAAATTATTTAGTTTTCCTCTTAGAACCGGAAGTCGTCGTTTTTGTTTCCGGTGAGACTGACATATTTTGAAACTACAAATGAGATGCAATAAAATGATGCAAAGAAAGATTCAAAAAAGAAAAGTTGAAATTTTCGATTTCTTTGATCACTACCTGTGATGACCGGAAGTGGCGGCTAATGCTATTAACCCAGTTGGGCTCGCCTACTCCTCAACATCTATAACTCCTACAGTACCAACCAGACCCAACCTGACACAAAGCAGTCCCAGAGCAGTCCCACAGCGATCCCAGAGCAGTCCCAGCGGTCCCAGAAAGCACTCCCAGCAGTCCCAGAAAGCAGTCCCAGCAGTCCCAGTGGGCGGGGTTAATAAATTTAATGGGCGGAGCTTACTCAGAAATGAGATTACCAATAAACAATGTAACTATAAAAGGCAGTTGAAATTGATGATCCATTTCTTTCTGAGCAGTATCAAGTCTCATGCGACAGTCATTTTTTAACTGTTAAGAAAATCTCACTACGCGTATAGAAACAAATAATAAATATTGAACAAAGAAGACGTTCACACCTATAAATAACATGAATATTTAAACACAGTTTTGTGGTATATTAATTTTTCACCAAAATAAATCAATTTCTAAATTACTGTGATTGATATTGGTTTCCATATTTATTTATTTTTTTATTTATTTTTTTTGTAGATAATTAAGCTTGAGTAATTTATTTTCTATCAAAACTAGCTTTAAATAGGCCTTATAATTATAGAGCAAGGCCGATTTCCATACTATACTCTGAATGCAGTTTTCTTAAGTACTGGAGCTTTTGAAAAATTCTTTGTATATTATATTTCAGTCATGATTATTTTCACTGACTTGCCAATTTAATTATCGTTAAATTATCTATGTAACAGAAAACAATAATACTTTTATTATATAAACGTTTGAGTGTACATCTGTAAATCACGCTAATGGAACCCTTAGATTATGTTCAAAATTAATTAATCCCGAAATAAATTTATACACATTTATTGAAACGAAGATTTTTTGCAGTACATAGATTGAAATTAGTGTCATTGTTGACCAGCATGTTCAGTGATGTGTAACACTGATACCCAAATAACATGCATTGACTTTCTGCTAATCATGCCCGAAGGCGATTGAAACTTCAGGTGTTGACACCATTTTATACATTTGTATTGCTTTTTATTAATCGGCCAGGAAAACACAAACAAAACAAATAAGAAATAAGTCACAATTCCCAATATCTTAAAATGTTTATAAATTTACTCTTTTAATTATTTGTTTATAAATCAAAAACAAATTCATAAATAAATCCCCCAATAATTGTTCACAAATATAATGTTTTAAATGACTGAAGAATGGTAGAATAATTTTATTTCATGGTCATTTAATAAATTATTAGGTTTTATTTGAGGGCGGTAAAAAATAGCACGGAATGCTCTTTTTTAGCATGCATATGGTTTTAGCTTTTTCAATTTAAAAAAAATCCAGTACAGTACGTCCCTCTGAATGTCTTATTGTAATGACAAGTTCGTTTGTTTTTTTGTTTGTTTGTTTGTTTTTAAATAGTGCTAATGCAAACTTTGAGTACATTCCGTAACTTGACAGCATTAATTAATTAAATAGGCCTCGATATTTTTTTTTTCAAACACCTGTATTAAAGTTTTAATTAGCATGAATTAATTAAATAGGCCTAGATGTATTTTTTTTTCAAACACCTGTATTAAAGTTTAATTTAAAGGATAAAAGTCATCTCCTGACTTCCCTTTTAACTACTTTCATTTTTTAAAATTAATTCTAGACTACAATTGTGTAAATTTACAGCCTCTGAAGACATTTAGTAATTACATGTATATCTATCTCTACTTATTAAAATGTTGTAAAAAAAATCCTTGGTTTTTTTTTATTCTTTATCTTAAACACCTCTCTGCTTAAAGTAAACAAAACAACAACAGGGAGCCTGCAAATTCAGAATTAAAAAAGGGGCGGAGCTATCATGTCACTCAGAACCTTTTTCATGCATAAGCGAACAAAGCAGTCCGAGAAAGCAGTCCCAGGGACTGGTGGGACTGCTGGGTCTGCTTTCTAGAGCAGTCCCAGAGCAGTCCCACAGCGGTCCCAGAGCAGTCCCACAGCAGTCCCGGGGACTGCTTTCTGGGACTGCTTAGGTGTCAGGTTGGGTCTGGTTGGTACTGTATACGTTTGGTGTCTTAATCTCTTACCTTTTCTGAGATCTCACTCAGATAAAATATTTTTGAGAAAAATGGAAATCGGACATATCTGACAACCGGAAGTGAATTTCGAAAAAATGAAGAAGAAAAAACGCCTCGAGGTATTTTCATTCTCTATCAACCCTGAAAATTTCAGGAAAATCCATCCAGGCATCTCTGAGAAATCCTGCCAACAAAAAAAGGGGGGAAAAAAATAATAATAATAAACAATACAATCACTATAAGGTCTTCTGTCTGGAACGGAAGACCTTAACTAGAGCAAAGCTCATTGCAGAGCAAAGAGTAGGTCTTTCGTCCTGTTTTGACCGGAATTGACATCAAGAAAGAAAGGATTGAGTTAAGACATCTCCAGTGACTTTAAGGTTTCAATTTTGCATCAAAACCTGCAAAATAAGCTATTTCTGGCTACTTTCGGTTTGACCGGAAGTGATGTCGAGGGATGAAAAATTCGGTTGGACGCTTCTGGTTACATAAATTAACCAATAACGTGTCGAAAACAGCAAAAATATGCATTTTCAGACTACTTCCGTTTTGGCCGGAAGTGACGTGATTTGATGACTTTTGACAATCTTGCTCACTTCTACTTGTCATTTTGAACAATTTTGCTTCTTTGATGTATAACAAATTCTCAATAGTTTTGAGATATTGAGAAAACACTTTCAGCCCCTGTAGATCCCTTATTTTAGGGGCCAGCCCCTATTTGTTGAAATCAATTGAAAAAGCTTGTCATTATGCACAACTTTTGTTCTACATGTTTTAACAAATTGTGTATCAAATTGTGTAATATGGTTCTTTGGTCATCCTTGAGTATACTACTGACGTATTTTAGGATTTCATAAAGATTATGGAGTCTGGTCATTGAATGATACTATTTGGGAAAATCAGGATCAATATAAATAAGATATAAGCATTATTGAAAAAGGGATTTAAAAAAAAAGAAGGGGATTATAAATTCTGATGTAAATGCATGTCTTTAATTTTATTTTTCCCCTGACCAACTGACCCAATTGAAGGGGGGGCGGGGGGGGGGGGGGGGGGGGGTGAGAGTCTTTCAAAAAGAAGCGAATAAAAAATGCCCAGAACAACTTGAGGGGCCTGTATGACATACAGGTAGATTTTGTCTTGGTGAAAGGTGAAATTTTTTATACCTGCTGACCATCAAGATCAATGGGCCTTATGTTTTAAAACTTACTCTTTGCATAAATTTTGTCCACTAGCAAAGAAGAATTGTTTACATCATGACTTTATATAATTTTCTACTTGTAGATTTCCAGGAATATCTAAAACATCTTCAGTAACATCCAAGAATACATCAATAAATGCCAGGAATCCAATCCCTAGTCAGAGCAACACACTTTCAGGAAATACTACCACCAGTGCAATGTTTAGATTCCCTCCCCCTCCATTTACACCAAACAGTAAGCAGTTCTCTTCTGTGTCATTTGATGTTCCACCACCCCCACTTCCACAGACAATTAACATGTCTAACTTAGAAATAGCTGTGAGACCTGGTTTATCACATCAACACTCTGGTCACCAGCACTCTGAAAAAAATCAACAGAAGCCCTTGGAAGACAATGCTTTCCAGCAAAATTCAACTCTTGTAAATCCTCAAAGGGCATCCCAGATGGCTAATTATACAAACAATCCAAATCAACAACACCCCAAGAACAGTCCACATTCAGGAAATATTGGGAATCAAATGCATGGAGGGATTAGAAACATGTTTCAAAATCCTCCACCACCAAGCTTTCAGCAAATGACACCTAGAAATGAGAGACCACCATTTGGAGGAACTTCAAATGACAGGTCACCCTTTGGGGGAACAAACTCCCAGACAGTGCCATCCCAAATACAAAATTCTGCCTCACAGTTTCACTTGTTAAATCAGTTACTGAATGCTGGGATTGGGAGGATGAATGTGAGGCCTCTGGGCATGCAAAGTTCAATGGAGAACTCTGGAAAGAAAGAGGATCTTCCTTTTGTTCCTCCCGAATTGCTTGGAGCACTTTCACAGCTGGCTATTCAGGTGAGTTTGTATTCTGCAAAGGTACAATTTTGGCTTTATTATGCCCAAAAATGTGATGTTTTTAAAAAAGTTTTAAAATTGGTTTAACTATAGATGGCATCTCGGTATACATTGTAAGTGAAAATTATTCTCAAAAGGGATGTTAAATAAATAAACAATAATCATGAGTTGAATATATGAATGTGAAAAATCTGGCAAAAGGGAGGACCATTCTATCATATGATGTCATTAAATTGTTATATTTTGTTATCTAGACCTATTTTAGTATAAGTCTGGAACAGAAAAAGTCTCAACTGACTCATTAAAAGGGTTAATTTCTTTCAGAAAGTAGTGTCTATAGCCATCACTCACTTCAATTTTTAGCTCACCTGAACCAAAGGCTCAAGTGAGCTTTCCTGATTGAAAGAACTATATGCGGTATATGCATATTAAAATTGCCCCCACAAAAGTCATATTTTGAAAATTTTTTGAAATGTGCTGAATTGTATATATATTGTATGAGAAATCTAAATTAACAAAAATATAATAAATTCAAAGTAGGTTATTGGCAATTTTTGTTTCTATGACGTCACAAACTATTCTGATCTTGTGTTATTTTTCAGAAAGAGGAAAAAATGAACCTTTTTTTTTTCAATTTTTACTATAAAATTTATAGAGCGCAGGTCTGCTCCAAAACAATATTTACATATTTCATTGATATTATCATTCTACACATTATATCAAAGTATTGAGTCGGAGGAGACCTGCGCTCGGTGACTTTTACTCAAAATATTGACATAATATACACCTTTTTCTGTATAAAACATGGAAATTTTGAATTTACGTCATTTTCCTGATGTCATATTAACATATGGCATCATGGCTTATGAAAATATTCAGTGTTTTGAAGTCTGCAGATACCCCCTGTCTTAGAACATAATTATGTATTTCTCTGTCAAAGTTTGATTTTGGGGGCAAATATTAGTCATTACCGAATATAGTCCTTTGTCCATTGTCTGTTGGCGTTGTCATCATTCTGATAAACTTTTGACCACTGGGCCATCTCATTTCAACCAAACTTATCACAAAGTATCCTTGGATAAAGGTATTCACATTTGTTCAAACGAAGAGCCACACATTCTTCCTAGGGGAGATTATTAAAAAATAGTGAAAATGGGTGGGGTAGTTTAAAAATCTTTTTCTCAAGAATCACTGGGCCAGAAAAAAATAATGAATCTTATGTGAAAGGTTTCTGGAGTAGTGTAGATTCAAGTTTGTTCAAATCATGACCCCCGGGGTAGGGTGAGGCCACAATGGGGGATCAAAGTTTTACATAGAAATATATAGGAAAATATCTTTAAAAATCTTCTTCTTAAGAACAGCAAAGCCATGATTGCTCATATTTATATGGAAGCATCCTCAGGTTGTGTAGATTCAAGTTTGTTCAAATCATGACCCCCGGGGGTAGGGTGAGGCCACAATGGGGGATCAAAGTTTTACATAGAAATATATAGGATAATATCTTTAAAAATCTTCTTCTTAAGAACAGCAAAGCCATGATTGCTCATATTTATATGGAAGCATCCTCAGGTTGTGTAGATTCAAGTTTGTTCAAATCATGACCCCCGGGGGAAGGGTGGAGCCACAATGGGGGGATCAAAGTTTTACATAGAAATATATAGGAAAATATCTTTAAAAATCTTCTTCTGAAGAACAGCAAAGCCATGATTGGTCATATTTATATGGAAGCATCCTCAGGTTGTGTAGATTCAAGTTTGTTCAAATAAAGACCCCCAGGGGTAGGGTGAGGCCACAATGGGGGATCAAAGTTTTACATAGAAATATATAGGAAAATATCTTTAAAAATCTTCTTCTGAAGAACAGCAAAGCCATGATTGGTCATGTTTATATGGAAGCATCCTCAGGTAGTGTAGATTCAAGCTTGTTCAAGTCATGACCCCTGGGGGTACGGTGGGGCCACAATGGGGGGGTCAAAGTTTTTCATAAGAGTATATAGAAAAAAACTTTAAAAATCTTCTTCTCAAGATAAGCAAAGACATGATTGGTCATATTTATATGGAAGCATCCTCAGAGAGTGTAGATTCAAGTTTGTTCAAATCAGGATCCACGGAGGTAGGGTGGGGCCACAATGGGTGATCAAAGTTTACAGAGGAATATATAGGAAAAAATCTTTCTCTAAAGAATAGAAAAGCCATGATTAGTCAAATTGATATGGAAGCATCGTTGGGTAGTATAAAATGAAATTTGTTGAAATGAGCGCCCCCAGGGGTAGGGTGGGGCCACAATGAGGGATCAAATTTTTACAAATGAATATATGGGAAAAAATCTTCTGCTCAAGAACAGCAAAGTCATTTGTTATATTGATTTGAAAGCATTGTTAGGTAGTTTAAAATCCCCCATCCCCCCTCTCTCTCCCCCGTTAACTTTTCAATACTGAACTGATTTTTGCTTTTTTCCCTAGCCAATGTGCTTAGGTGAGCGATGTGGCCCATGGGCCTCTTGTCTAGAATATTATGAGAATAATGTGTAGTATATCCCTCCCCCCTTTTTAAATCGACTGTTCTGTGGATTTATCACCATGCATATCCAGTCTTATTTTATTGATCATGTAAATGAAGAACTAACTAAAAAAAAAACCACTGTTTCCCAAACAATATTTATAAAGGTAAAGAGTTTGTTATTTTTTTATGAGTTGATGGTATCAACTCATGTTATGTGACTTGTAAGGGATTCCCCAATGTATCGAAACTAATCACATTTTCGTTTGTGTACTTTGCGTACGGGTTCTTGTATAATATTAGTTTATTTACAGTTTTCATAATCTACAGAACAAGAATATGTTTCCTGATATGCTTTGACGTGTTTATGAACTTAAATATTTGTTATTAATTTTATTGGAATTTGTGTCTATCTGCGAGAGAAAATAGTGCTAGCGATATGCGGTCAACAAAAGTGACACATCATGCAAACAAAGTTTTGATTTATAAATCAATAAATGTTTTATATAATAAGAAGTACTTTGAAAACAGATTTTAAAGAAAATTCACAAAATTGAACATTGTACAAACCAGGTTATTTTTACAAGATTGACGTGCTGGTGGTATATAAATAAACTAATATTCTTGCGCTGTTGAGCAGTTTTCCCGCACTAGTGGATAAATCATTCAACACAGACATGACAGAGAACACTGCCTATGTTTGTAAATATAGCAAGGAGTTTGTAGTAAAGAAGATCGAAGTAAACCAATTACTAATCTCAAACTGCAGAAATGAGCTGTACCAGTTGAACAAAACAATTTTGAAATTAAAGTTCTTATTTACTGTGCAAGCAAAAAAAAATCGATTGCTTAAAGGGTTAGATTTTTTCAGCAGCGGACAACTCTGTGTTCCAATTTCTTTTTCCCCGTTAAAAACACAGTTGAGAATTCCTGTCTTCCACAATCTAGATCTGTTTCATAGCAAGCTTTAAATACAGTAGAGGTCACTTAAAACGCCTGTGATTCTTATCTCATTAATTGTCGGCACTACACTGGAAAGTGTTTTCCTTTAATATGTCCAGCTGTGCTTTGCTATCAGATGCTGACCATGTGATAAAATGAATTAATAGAATAAAAACAAAAACAAAAAAATTAAGTGGGGTGTTATTGGTAAATTAAATGTGATATGCATATTTATAAATGTGAAGAGATTAAGAAATCAAATTAATTCAAGAGTAGACAGATCATGTAAATAGTCAATATCATGCCATTGTGATGAATTTAAAGTCTTCAGTCGAAAAGCCGAAAGAATTGAAATATTAAACGTGCATACATGTATCAATGAAAGTCAATAAGCTGAGTTTCAAGAGAGGCTAAACTGAGGGAAATGATATATAAAATGTGCATATCAATTAAAGTCAAGTAGTTATATCTATTTCAAGAGTGACTAAACCAAACGAAATGACATATAAAATGCTCATTTCAGTTAAAAGTCAAAAAGTTGAATTTCAAGAGAATTAAAATATTAACTGTGCATATCAATGTTCATAAAAGACAGGGGGCTGAATATCAAGAGTGGCTAAATCAAGAGAATTGAAATGTCAAATGTGCATGTTAATTATCAAAGACAAGGAGTTGAATTTCAATAGTAACTAAATCAAGAAAATTGAGTTATGTTTTCTATATATATATATATATATATATATATATATATATATATATATATATATACAGTAAAACTTGTTGAATCCGGATGTTCTGCATTCCGGCATGTTGTTCAGTCCGGCGTAACATTTTAGTCCCAAGAATTTTCTTTATAATTTATGTTTAATAAATGTTGTTCAATCCGGATCTTGCCTATTCTGTAAACCGGCTGCTATTTGAAGAACTAACTGCTCATAATTAGTACAAATTATCTCCTCTAATCCGGCCACTTATTTTTACCTGTGCCCGCTGGTCATTACAGAAGTCTCGCGTGGGGATAATTATTGTCCCGTTAATGATCTATCCTGTATCGACAGTTTAGATTTTAACAAACACGATAAATAAATCATTAATGGCTCAAGTAAGGCGATGGTTGCGTAAAGCATGTCTGTAGTAAAACTGGGAGACTTATTCATGACCTCATTTCTACTTTCGTTTTGCGTGCACGACGTGCAATTCAAATTACTTGCTAGTTTACAACTACCATAACGACAGAAGATCTTGGTCCAATATTAATTAAAACATTTGTAATTAACAAATACAGTGTCAAAATATTCAAACATATTAATTTTAAAAGAAAGAAATTAGCAATCTGTCCCTAACAAAATAATATTTACAGCTACGATGAGGTTTTGGAGTGTGTTTAAAACATTTAACGTTTTTCAAATTTAATAAATGACCAAGAGATATATTTCGTTACTGAATAAAAAACTTTAAATTGAAATGAAAATTTTGAAGAACAAACAGAGTTCAAAACAAGAGAAATAGACGATTTTTTCAAGTGAAACGTTTGATCAAGTATTTCAGTATTTACCACTC